TGAACGTCTCGATGTGACCAAGTCTAAGGAGAGGAAGGGCATGGTGAACAAGTGGTTAAGATTGAAGAGAGCACTCAGTAAGAGCTTTATGGTGATCGTCGGGGTGATAGGGATTTCGACCATCTACGGATTAAAAAGGGCTAGAGGAGGGGAAGGGTGGGTTATTGAGGTGCGCATCTCTGTAAAGTATTTACGTGGGATGTAGGAAGACGGACAGGAATTTTAGGGAAGCCGAGTTTGATAGACAGTGGCAAGAGATAGAGAACTTAGTATATGATTGCGTTATTCCTATAATATTTGTAGCTTTGGAATTCGGCGGTGAAAGTACGAAGGAGGAGCTGATTAGCGTACTCGAAAGATTCCTAGGTAGGTTTCATAGCGTTGGGTGCTTGGTAAGGGATAGAAGGAGGAGGAGGAGGAGACAACATCGGACTAGAAGATAAGTCAGGATGCAGAACGTGGGGAACGGTATGGTTCCAGGATTCGGGAATGGAGTAGCATTCGGGGGAGGAAATCAACCGGGCGGTGCAACATTCGGGGGAGGAAATCAACCGGGTGGAGTAGTATTCGGGGGAGGAAATCAACAAGGGAGCATAACGTGTCATATTTGTGGAAAAGTCGGGCATTATGCCCGAAACTGCTGGATGGCAGGCAATGGGAGGGGTCCGTTAGTTCAGCAATCTGCTTCGAACAGTATGGATGACGAAACGAAGGAAATGCGAGAGTATTTTCGGGAGAAAATCAGGAGGAAGAAGATGGAAGAAGACAAGAGAGTGAGGGAAGAGGAGGAGAGGCGACAAAAGGAGGAGGAGTTTCGGAGAGAGCAAGAAAGGATGAGAGATGCTGAAGCTCGAGAGGCGAAACTGGAGGCACGTTTGATTCGGCTTCTAGCTCAGCATAACAAAACTGCCGCGCAACCGGAGAGTTCGAACGTGAGGAAGAAATCACCTAAGACAAAGGCCAGAGTACTTAGAGAAATCAGGAGCTACCTGGACGAATCAGACGACGAGAGTGAGGAAGTGAGAGAGGAGGCGGGGAAGTTAGTAGAGGCGATCGAGATGAGGAAGGGCAAGAGGAAGATCTACAAGGACGAGGGGAGAGGTTCGAGGATCCAGTCGCAAAGGATGGGTTACCAGGAGGAGCCGGTGAGGATCGAAGACGATGACGAGGAGAAAACACCACCACCGGCGAAGCGAAGGAACGAAGAAGAATCCGGAATCCTTGAATTTGCTATCGAACTTCACAAGCACTTGTCGGAGAAGAAGGTTCCGTAGCTGCGAAAGTTGTGCAGTRGGGAGGGGATCGAGTGGTCAAAGAGGGACACAACGATTGGGGAGTTGGTGAAGTGCAAGGCGAAGTTAGCTTACGGCAAATTTACGGAAAGTGGTCGCATCTCTGATTTGTTCGAGAAATGACGTGCATGGAGCAACTGAMGGAGGAGATGGTAGCACGGAGGAAGGCAGTGGAGGAGAAGGGAGGGAGATTGAAAGCGAGCGAGGAAGACAGGATATTTAGACTATTCCTACTTTGCGTCCTATCCAGGGAATGCCCGTGGGCGAAAAAATGGGTAGGAATCCTGAGCGACAATGGAGGGGACGTGTCGACGAGGAACCCAGGTGTGTATGCATTAGTAAGCCCGTGGTGCAGGCATTTCTATATCGGATGCACCTCTCGGGCTGTGATCACGAGATGGGCCGATCATGTTAGTCAAGTTATTAGGGGAGACCCCGGGAATGCACCAAAGCTTCACGCGTGGTTGTGAACGTTTGGTTGGCACATATATTTAGCCATTCCTCTCGTTGATGGGATTTAAGGATCCATTAGTAGTTGAGTCGGCTCTCATTAAGCGATTTTCTCCATCTTTGAATACTCAAGGGGCGGGAGGAGAGAGATGGCGTGGAAAGAAAAAGAGGGCAGGGAAGAGAGAGAGGGGAAAGAGGTTGCCGAACCCAGGTGGGATAGTAGTGATCAAGTTCAACCAGAAGGCATCAGTAATTGAAGTGGTTAAAGAGATGCGGAGTGGACGGCATCCATTGTGGATCACATCGTCTGGAGGAACCCTGTGGATCGACAGGTGGAAGATTGTAAAGGGAAAAGTGGGTGAGACAACGATTTGGGTGGATGGGGAGGAGCGACCTATCAAGAACTGCAAGCAGTGTTTAGAGGAGGGTGGGTAGTTTCGGGTTGGGAAGATCACGATTACACCATCAAGCATTGAGCATAGCAGGTTCGTGTTGAGGGACTTGTTACGTCAGCCGTGGAGGATGCGAGGCATGTATAAGAAGGGACCAAGGGAACTGTTGGCACTGTATCGGACCGCCATGCTGTTTTCGAACAAGAAGAGTAGGAATCGCACTAAACATATCATCACAAAAATAGTGAGGAACAAGTATGGCTACGAGATAAGGAGGAGACCGTGCGTGAGGTATCCTTTCTCCCCTCCAGTGAAGAGAGGGGTGGTAAGAAGGATTGCGGCCAGGATGATTCTTCAAGCAATTGGGGATCCCGATCTGGCCAGATTCATTGCTGGGAAGGTAAGGGTGGTGGAGAAGAAGCGGACCACGGTCGGGATGGTCATTCATAATCACTGGAAGTGCGCTGAGAGTACTGCGGCTGAGTGTACATGCGATCAGCTTCATCTTCCCAGGACTGATGGTCATGTCAAGGTACATTTGAACGAAATWGTGGGTGTGCCAAGTTTCTTGTGGAATTCGAAGAACGTTACCAGCGGGAGCCTCATATCTGCGGATGGGCTGAGATCTTGTATTTTGGAAGGGGTGAAAGGGTGGACGAAAGGAAAA